CCCTCGGACATTCAAGCAAAGTCTCGGGGGCGCGGCGGAGAGGTCCGGAGCCCGCAGGGACGGTTCTCTGGAGTTTTCGGAGGCCAGGAAGCCAGAGCCTCTCAACTGGGGCTCTCTATCCGGGGCTCGCCCACGGCCGGCACAGGGCCCTCGGCCTGATCCAATCGGCAGGTGCACCTGGAATGCGAGTGGGACAGACGTTACGTTTATCCCCGACACCCTCCATCCTAGCCTTTCCCGGGCTCCGGAGCAGGCACAGACCCTCACAAACGTAACAGCAGGCTGTTCCGCGCAGCCCAGCAGGCTCTGAGCTGCAGGCACTTTGACTATAGCAGTGATGGCGAACCTATGACACTATGAACTCAATTTTTTGGTTGATTTTTCTTTGTTAAATGGCATTTAAATATATAAAATAAATATCAAAAATATAAGTCTTTGTTTTACTATGGTTGCAAATATCAAAAAATTTCTATATGTGACACGGCACCAGAGTGAAGTTAGGGTTTTTCAAAATGCTGACACGCCGAGCTCAAAAGGTCCGCCATCACTGGACTATAGTCACTGCGCTAAACTGGTTCCCCTTTACAGTTAAATTGGGACTGCTCATGTTATTGGGTAAAATCATCACCACCCCCCAAGCGTGCGCGCACACACACACACACACACTTAATAGGAACATTCAGAAAAACCCACAGATGTCATTAAAACACACACAAAAGTGACTTTAGAAACTACATGTACCGGGTGTCAAAAAATGTGTACACACTTCAATAGCTGGTAGCTCAATTTTGAAAATAAAATGTATTTTAATAAATAAGCCTTTGTAATTATTCTAAGTGTCTTATACTTTTTGGGGGACACCCTATATTTATGGCACCAAAACATACAAAATACAAAAGGTCAAAAACAAAACAGGGCAGGCGGGTCTGCCAGCCGTTTGACCCTGGAGTCGAGTGAGTGTGGCCTCTGGCTTCAGACGCAGTTGTGTGACCTTGAGCGAATCATCAGCGCTTTCTTCCTGAGGCTCTGTCTCCTTTTTCAGAAAACAGATCCTAAAAGCTCCTCTTATGTGGGGCGGGGAGGACTCGCAGGCTGGTACGGACAGAGCTTCGGCAGAGCGCCTGGCACTGGCCGTAGATGGTAGCGGTTATTTCCAGGTTCGCTGCCCCCGGCTGAGTCTGAGGCTCCGTGTGGGTGCCGAGGACGACGGCAAGGAGTGGGTGGCTGGCAGCCCCAGAGAGCACGCTTTGTGGGTCAGCAACTCCAGGTTCTGAAAGGCCTGGCCGCTCCGGAGCCTCCCACGGGGCAGTAGGTGGCTGGTGGGGGGAGAGCCCGAGAGTTTGCCACGAGCTCTTTTTTTTTTTTTAAATATTTTTATTGATTTGAGAGAGTAAGAGAGATAGAAACATCAACGATGGGCGAGAATCTGACTGGCTGCCTCCCGCACGCCCCAACACTGGGAATGGAGCCCGCAACCTGGGCATGTGCCCTGACCAGGAATCAAACCGTGACCTCCTGGGTCATAGGATGATGCTCGGCCGCGGAGCCACAGTGGCTGAAATGCTGGAGCTCTTTATGGAGGGTTTATTTTATTTCCTCTGGGAAGGCGAGACGATCTTGCAAATGCATTCTGAACGCCGACCCTGCGCGGACTACTTTGGAAGACATTCGTTTCGTGGACTGTTGTCTGGCCCCTGACCCTTTCTGAGTCTTACATTTCGTCCTCCAACCATTTTCCCAAATGATGCTCCTTGTTCACACATTATCCAGAGCGAAACACCTGCACCGTGGCTCAGGGACCGCAGATGGAGGAGGGTGTGTCTGGGAGGAAGGGCTGTGACAGTCTCCCTAGCCCTGCAAGGACACGTGGAGCTTCGGAGGGTCCTTCGCATCAGGAACTGCCCTGGGAGCCCGCACCTTCATCAGCGAGCAGGGCCCGTGGCCGCGCCCCGCATGAGGACACCAGGGAAGGGCTTCATCTGGGCTTCACCCCACCTTCCCAGCTGACCTTGAGCCGGTCTGGAAACGTTGTGTCCTGTTTTATTATCTTAGACTAAGTAGGTTGAGAGGAGAGCTCGCAGCATCCACGGCCAGAGGGACCTCAGGAACCATCCTCTCAGCCAGCTCTCCTCGGGGTGAAAACCACTCCTGGCCGTTCTCTGTGAGGTATGATCCTCCCCTCCCCGCGTTGTGCTGTTTAAATGCTACGGGGCATGGAGTTCGACTAGGCCACGGACCTCAAGCTGCGCCAGGGGTTGGGTAGGTGAGGTCACTGAGCCGAACACGGGCCCGGTAAGAAACTGGAGGTACGTGCACTCCCAACCCCCCGGAAATGTGCAACCACACAAGCCGAGCAAAGCTGTCTGCTTTCTGAGGCTTTTTATGGCCTGTGGCCGGTTTGCACCGTCTGAATCGCAGAAGAAAGTAATAATAATATCGCTCACGATGCTTATTAGCTAGTGGGAGTGTTTGACGACTAGATGATTAGCCCGACATTTGGAGATATTTTTGGCACAGGGTCCGTGTGTGAAAACCTACCCTTAGCCCAGTCTGCTACGCACTGTGCATCTCTGCTCTGAAGAAAACGTTAGCGCTTGTTAAAAGCGCATCCCATTTACAAAAATCGATCCTCATTCCTTTTCTTGGAAGACCTACTTTCAGAGGCAGCACCTGAGAGATCCCCCGGGTGAAG